GTGCTGTGCTACTTCTTATGCTGACATACTCTCGTGAACGGTTGAGCAAGATTGTCATACAGTGAAATATGCCACGACAACACACGCGAATCGTGCACTTCCCCATTAATAATTGGGGCGTGTCATGATCATGATCATGATCACAAAGTGAAACCGTGACGACGACGAGGACAACAACAACAATGCATGATTGAAGTGGAGTGCAAGTCGGTTTTATTAATAGTGCATAATTGTAGTACATTGACACTGACACTGACACACATGCAAAATCACTCACATGTACTCAACAGTCAGGGACTATTGACGCATATAAATTGGTGAATGTGTTGCGAGATTGTAGGTAGGTGGTTGATTGCAACGGTCACATAGTGATGTTGAACCGATGGAGATTTCTGGTGGTGACGCTGTTCACCTACTGTCTAACAGTTGAACGTGTGTCAACATGGTTGATACGTAGTGGTGAACCTGTGCAACAACGCACTGAATTCCCGTTCATCGCATTTGTGACGACAGAGAACACAATGTGTACAGGCTCATTAGTGTCAACAAGGGCAGTGCTCACAGCTGGTCATTGTGTTTGCTCACCGCTGCCAGTCGTTCGGGTAAGAGATCACACTGAAACACATTGTTGCTCAATGTGATCGAATTATTTCACAGTGTGTTTCTGTGTGAGTGTGCGTGTGTGTCAGTGTGTGTGTGAGTGTGTGTGCAGTCGGTTTGCATAGATCTAATGTGAACATACGTTGTGTATTTCAGGTTTCATTTCTCACACTGAGGAATGGCGACCAACAAGGCATCCATCATCAACCGTCTGGAGTGGTGGTAGCACCAGGATATATGCCCTCTTGTATGTCGGCACGACAGAGGAGACCAATCCAACAGACACTCAGTGGATTCGACATTGCAATTATAACGCTCACCCAAACGGTCAACTTACAGAGTGGAATCAGAGTGCTCAGTCTGCCACAGCCAACCGATATACCGAGACCTGGAACTCCGGTTTTCATTGTTGGTTATGGAAGGGATGATAATGACCGTGATCCACAACGTAGAAATGGTGGAATTTTAAAGAAAGGTGAGTGATTGAGTTGGTGGTGCTGGTGAACAAACAACATCTATCTATCTGATCCGGTTGTTGTGTTGTTCAGAGCCTCTATAACTGTGTTCGGATGTGCCAGTGACAGTTCACTAGCAGAGTGACTCAATCTGCATCTCGGTCATTAGATAGGTGTGATGCGATGGAATGTGGAGGGATGGGATATGTGATTGATTTATTGGTTGTTTGATTGATTGAGTGAGTGATTGAGTGATTGAATGATTGTGAGAGTGAGATCACTTGGATGAGAGAAGACTCGTGAGATATCTGTGCAAACGATGGATGTGTGTTGTTGTACATGAAGTAGATGGTCAATAAGTTTCATGTATATGGAGGGATGGTGGTGAGATGGACAGTGACTTGATTGTCGAATGTGGTGCACATGTGGGATTGCATGTGGAGTGTTTGTTGTGTGCATAGTTTGAAGGTGGATAGTTGTTGTCAGTTGATGTTTTGTAAATTCACTTGTCTGTTCTGTTCTGTTCTCTTCTATTCTGTCCTATTCCGTTCTGTTCTTTATTTGACACAGGTCGAGCGACTATAATGGAATGCCGACACGCGACCAATGGCGATCCAATTTGTGTGAAATCAGGTCAGAATTTCGGACAGTTACCCGCTCCAGGTGACAGTGGTGGACCTCTCCTTCCATCCCCTCAAGGTCCAGTACTCGGTGTCGTATCACATGGTGTCACACTGCCAAACCTTCCCGATATCATTGTCGAGTATGCCAGTGTGGCTAGAATGTTGGATTTTGTACGCTCCAATATTTGAACAATATTTCAACAATGTTTGAACAATTCGCCGACCAACTCGTATCATTCATTCATGTGTGTACATAATCTATCGATAAAAATCCACACGCAATTGTGTTAAGATATTTCTGATAAATAAACAACCTAATCAATTACTACAACACTCCATCCGTTTTCTCTGAGTTGGCAAGTGTGGTGTGGTGAGGTGTGGTGTGGTGTGGTGTGGTGTGGTGTGGAATGGTCATTTATTTATTTGCTTTTGATCATCAGGATGCTGCTTGATCACGATGCTTGAATATTCGCATGTTGCGAGAGAGTTTGAAATGGATGAAGACAGTTCGGTTCATATGGCAGTCATTCGTTCGTTGTGAGAACAGTAGGGTAATAGATGTGATTATATAATTTGGCATTATCTTTCTGATCGTGATTGCGAACATTGTCACAAAATGTGAGAAACTATCGTCCCGCATTCTACCACTAACTATCATCCATCTTTGCTGTGTGGAAAATTAGTTGTCAATAGATCACCATATCTTCATGCAATCACATTTTGAATACACACTTAATAAAACTGATTCATAGTGAATTATTTTAGTATAGTTGGATCATATCAGCATGACTGATTAGTGCACAGCTTCTCCTTTTCAATCAATCAATAATATATGATTGGACTGTGAAAACCAACTGATTAGGAGAGAACAATAAAGCTGAGTTCATAGTTTACTGATTCATATGTGGATTGAAGTCGTAATAGATTGATCTGAGTTGGGATAATCATTGAATGCTGGAAAGCACTGGATAACCGTTTAATTCTAATAGAAGACTCCTCAGTCAGCTGACTAATAACGAATATAATCAACAAATTGCACCAAATTACTCCATCAAGTTTCCCTTCAGCTAAATAGAATTTTCTCCAGTCCTTTAAGGTTCATTGGTTCATTGGTTATTTTGTGAAATTTATTAATACTATGTAAACTGTCCAATGAGGTCTCCTGGAAATGATACCTTATTAACAGACCGGAAACAGAAACAACAAATATGGTGGATGCAGCACCAATAGTCAACTGTGAAAATGTAAATCACTAGTTGTCGATACAAAGAATCCATGGATGTGTTTGCATCACCACATTCCAGATTCAACCCTGTCGTCTACAATATCGAACCATCGATTTTACACTTCTTCTTCCAATCAACTCCACAAACCTATAATCCTTCATCATGTTCAGACACTGTGACACATTATTCACATGTAACTAACTTCCTGCCAATCTGAGTGTTTCTGATAATCACTTCACAGATGATCGCAGTAATAATAATAATGATAACAATAATTATTATGATTATGGTTATTTTGGTCGCATCGATATATTTCTACAAATGTCGATGCATTGACAAGTGTTGTTATATGAACAAAAAACTGATCAACAATGAATATCATCTGTAAGATATAAAAAGTCGAACAGATCTCAACTGTCTAATCATAACCCTTGATTCTCCACTAGATCGTGTTGAACATCAAGTGTATTCCACAGTTCAATCAATATGTCATGTGAAGAAATGATCGGTGTTTTTTCCAATGGACATCTGCAACTGGCACAAAAACCATTCTATCACCTGATCGCTTGATAAGTGAGAAAGAGAGAGAGAGAGAGTAGACGAGTCAAATGGAACACTACTCGATTCATTCCTTACTCCGATTTCCAACTCACAACTCCAATTCAGATCAGTGCAGAATGACACACGAGCAAATAGATGACTAACATGACCATAACGAACCGACAATTAAGAAAATACAATTATGTTCAAATCTGGGAATCGGAGTGGTAAAATAGGGTAGTGAAAGTTGTGTTTAAATTACCATGGATTTGGAGCTGAATCGGGTATGGCAGTGAATCATGCATCGAACGAAAGCTTATGGTGTGTAGAATAAAGCAGTTGCAAAACTAAACGTTAGTGTTCTACAAGCTTTCAATTAAGTGAAATCAAGTCGCCAAAAATAGCTTCTTTTGTTGGTTATGACTCATTTGTTTCTGTTTATGTCCACACCAACCTTCATCTCCTAGTCACTATCATATTCCCACTTCAAAATTAGGTATGTAATGAGGAAAGTATCAAAATTTGAGACATGATGTGATCAGCAAACGAGTAAACAGCTAATCGAATGTTCCAATATCCCTAATTACTCACCTAAAAATCTCACTTATCAAATACGTCAAACGACAAACGAAAATTACCCACTTAAGTAAATATTGCTATCGTTCTTAGATATTGTTTAATGGAAGAAGCATTTACCAACCTTGTCTCACTTCATACCTATCAACAACTGGATCAAATAGTTCAATATGATTTATGAGTGTGATCAGCATCGACTTTTGAAAGGCACTATACTCGAATATAGTGTGTGTTGGAGAGAGTGTTGGAAGTGGAAGAGAGGTCAATTTATGAATTCAGTAGGATGGATCGATTAGAACGGAGATGTATCATAGTGCAGAATAACATTGATAGGTATTACTAAGAAAACATGATAGTCCCAATCACCATCAGAAAGATAATGCCAAATTATATAATCACATCTATTACCCTACTGTTCTCACAACAACAACAACAAGTGCCTATTGTTATACGATGATGATGTCGATTTCTGTAATCTGTTTCGTTGCTACCACTGACTGACTGACTGACTGACTGAATGAATGAATTAATTAATTAATTAATTAATTAATGAATTAATGAATTAATGAATGAACGAACGAATGACTATCACATGAACCGAACCGTCTTCAGCCCTTTCCTACTCTCTCGCAACATGTGTATATTCATGCATCGTGATCAAGCAGCATCCTGATGATAAGCAGCAAATAAATAGTTGCCCATTCCACTAACACTTCATTGATCAACACACACGCAAATCAGACCAGATCACATCACATTAAACCACACCACACCACACCACACCACACCACACCTCACCACACCACACTTGCCAACTCAGAGAAAACGGATGGAGTGTTGTAGTAATTGATTAGGTTGTTTATTTATCAGAAATATCTTAACACAATTGCGTGTGGATTTTTATCGATAGATTATGTACACACATGAATGAATGATACGAGTTGGTCGGCGAATTGTTCAAACATTGTTGAAATATTGTT